TAAGCAACAACAAGTTTACTAGGACTTCCTTCAGTTACCACGTACTGCCATTACAGAAAATTTGGAAAACAAAGTCAGGAAAAAAAAGGACTCACCCATGGTTTTCTCACCCACTTTTCTGGTTTTCAAAATTGTACCTTCACTTTCTCGTGACCAGAATGCTGGAGTCTGTCTCTGACCAATCACTTTCTTCTCATTCTTCTATTCATGTTGCTGCTCCATTTTTCCTTCCATATGCTCCTAAAATAATACTGTATGATACTGGAGTTTTGTAGTGACCTTCCTTTCCAGAATAATTTCCATAAATATGTATGCCTGTCACTTTTGCAACACTGATTTGGATTTAATAAAAGACTTTCAAATTTAATGAGTTAATCCCTTTGACTTCCCAAGTGGGCAAAGCAGAGTTGGGCTGGAAGAACCTGACACATCTGTAACACCTCTTCCTAGCATGTTTTCTAAGTGTCTATAAATTATTATTGCTTTTCATTCAACTACTAGTTGCTCATCTTAACCATTCTTTGGATAGCCATCCTTTATAAGCCTGTGCTAATATTTAATCAATATAACAAAAATACACTCAGTTACAAAACCTGTGGTTATGGAGGGACAACCGTACTGTCATTTTATATAACAATTTGTTAAATAACAAATTTTTATACATTTTATATGAGAATTTTTTATACAGCATGAGGAATACAAAAAATATCTCACATGGATCTTGCTTCAAAGAACTCAAAGTTCCATCACTAAGAGAAAATATGAACAAAATTAAGTCCACTATAAAGACACTAGTGGAATAAAGAGACTACTCCAGTTGGGGGAAAGCAGACAGTCAGGGAAGGCTTAGCAGGGATAGCCACACTCAAGCTAAACTGAGTACCATGCCAGATCTGGATTTAGCCTTTAAGAAGACAACAGCTTTCGCCCAGGGCTCCCAAAGCCACAAGATAAGAAGTCTAAATACCTTTCTATGTGGAAGAGACCACATAGAAAGCTCTGACACTACATGGAGAGGGAAAGGGCCGGCTGAGCCCAGCCTTCCAGCAGTCTCTAACAAGACACATGAATGAAGACACCATCTTGGAAGTGGATTCTCCAGTACTGGCCACCTCTGCTAAAAGCATATGAACCAGAGGTAAACAGCCCAGGCAAGTCCTTCCCAATCTCAGCTCAAAACCGTCAACAAATAAAACTGCTGTATGAAGTCAGTAAGTTCTGGGATGGTTTGGTATGCACCAATGGATAACTGAAACAGATCAAATCTTATTTTCTAACCAACGGGAAGCAACACAATGAGCTGTTCTTTAGAAAAATTAACTTTGCTGCAATGTGTAGGACAGCCTACAGGAGACATCTGGTGCCACGAGACAAGAGCCAGTGAAGTCTGAGCTAGAGATAACAGTATGTAGGGGGAGGAAAAGAAAATACAAGATACTGACTGCAGAGTTAGATCCAATGGGAGTTTTGTATTTAATTGGCCATCAGGGCAAGAGGAAGGAAGGAGTCAAAGTTGACCTAGATGTTGAGATCAGGTGACTAGAAGATGGTGATGCTATTAAGGAAGAACAAGGCAGATGATGAGCTCAGAATAAGAAAGCACAATGTGTGTTAACTTTAATATGTAGACAAAATGAAACTGAAGTAAAATAACATCCATAATTACAGATATATAATTATATGCAAACGATTAGTGTAGAGTTTAACACATTGACTGCCACACTAGAAACAAAATTTGTTTCCTTGGTGCCATGGAGTTTTATTATGAAAATAGAATAAAGACTTCGAAAACAAAACAATTCTTTCTAATTTAATGAAAAATTTGTTATTTTTTTTTATTGTTTTCTGTCCTTGAGTTATAGGCAACTTGAAAAATAGTTCTCTAGGCTCCCGAAGTGAAGAGACATGTGAGTTACATGCTGCGCAAGGCCCAAGGCTCAAAACTAGTGTGAGTTAAATACAACTCACATGGCAGTTAATGTGTTAAATAGAATTTAAAAGAGCTCTAAAAATCCTGTTATCAGTGTCTTTCCATGATAGGAAACTTTTAAACCAAAAATTAAATTCAAAATCTTTAGTGAGTGGGCTAGTTTAACATAAAACATTAAGATTCTCCTCAACTGTCAAGTGAAAATTAGTTTGGAAACTAGGACAGATAAGTAGGTACATCCTCATCCTCAAGGGGTAAAAATCTATGTTTTCAGCAATCATTTTAGAATCAAATCTTTTGTGAGCTCAGGACACTCTGCCCTTTTTATCCCAAGTACAGCCTTGTAGGCTCCACCCACTGACATATTTTTATTAATATATAGCATTGAGAGTTATTTTTTTAAAACTACAAATCTCACCACGGTAGAATACATGGCCTACAAAACTCTGCCATCCTATGACCCTTGATGACCGACGCAGCCTCACGTCATAGCTTCCCCCCGTCACTGTCCACCAGTAACAACAGCTCAGTTCCTTGAACACGCCATGCCCCTTCTTCCACTTCAGGCTCTTCTCTGGCTGGATGATTCCTCTTCATTGTCTCTTTGATCAAATTAACTCTACTCATCCTTCAGTTCTTTATTTCCTCAGAGAAAAGCCTTTCCTGACTATTTCCTAGCTATCCTCCCCACCCACAGAGTTCAATCACACATCCCTCACTTCTTCAAAGGACTTACCACAATGATAATTTCATACCTTTAGGAAACTATGTTTAACACATTGACTGCCACATTAGAAAAAAAAATTTTTTCTGGGGGCCACGGTGTTTTATTATGAAAATAGAATAAAAACTTCGAAAACAAAACTATCCTTTCTAATTTAATGAAAAATTTTGTTATTTTTTATTGTTTTCTATGCTTTTAATAAAAAATTAATATAAAAACTTGAAAATTAGTAATGTGAAAACTTGAAAAATAGTTCTTAATAGTAAAGTGTTTTTCTTGACTTGTCAGGCTTAAGTGTAATTTAAAGGGAAACAAACAGAAAAAATTTACTGACTTCTATTCATTAAATCCACATTTTTAGAATTAAATTATCAATATTAATTGTAACAATAAGAACGTCAAGTAAGATTTTCAAAAACCAACTGCAGGGTTTTGCCCAGGGGGCCACCTGTCACATAATTATGTATGCTACAGCACGGCAGCATGAGTTGCCTGTGCACCATGAGGCTCCCAAGGTAAAGAGACGTGTGAATTATACATGCTTTACGAGACCCCGGGCTCAAAACTAGTGTGAGTTAAATACAATAATGTGTTAATTTTGGTCTCCTCTAAAACTTTAGTTCCCAGAAGGCAGTTCTTACTTGTTCCCAAAACCTCAGTACATAGCACACTGCCTGGCACAAAGTAGATACTCCAGAAGTACTTTCCGAATATACAGCAATCACAGGTATATAGCAGAATAATTAGGGCATGAACTCCAGAACCAAACTGAGTTCAAGTTCCAGCTCTGACCTTACAAACTTTGTGACTAGATAGGTCATTTTTCAGTGTCTCAGTTTACTGCATTTTAAAATAAAGATAATAACGGAAGCTAATGTCATTGAGAGGATTAAAAAAACATATGGAAAATACCTAGAACAGTGTTTGGCACATTAGGATTGTATATTTTGTTCTATTATTAACAATGCAGTTATAATGATGACATTGTCAGGTGTGAGAATTAGTCATGCCCCCTGTAAAGATCCAGAATATGGTAAAGCCTAGAATTTAGTAAACACATTAAATAGGAGCTCATATTATAATTAGCAAACAGGCTCTCACCCATCCTACTTCATAAACTTTCAGTCTCTGTGACTCATATCTCAACTTTATTAAATTTCTCGAAAGGGGCTTCAAGGGTTCTCTTTTATTAGTCTTCACTGCTATCCTTCAGGATAAAAATCTAAATCCTCTAATGAGGTTTACAGGGGGTGTACAATATCTGGCCCCAGGCTCTCCAGCCATTTCTTCAAATTCACCACCACTCCCTACACTCAAGCACAATAAATTATGGACACAAAACCCAAACCAAAGCCAGGCCATTTCTTAGCTGTTTTCTACAAGCAAGCTTACTAAATTGAGATGTGTCATAAAACCTTCCCTGTCTTCTCCCCCTTCCCCCAGCAGTGTTCTCTTTGCATGATCAAAGTACTCAGGGCAACTGCTACCAAGGCACTTATCACAGTGTAGGAGTGATTAACAGGGCCCCAGGTGATTTATATCGGAAACCCGGAACCTAGAACAGTAACTGGCACACCACAGGCTCTCTGAGGTTGGTTACAAGTTGCCCCAAGTTTCGGATTATCGTTCAACCCGGTATGAGGGCCACCTCGCAAGCGCGCGCATTGGCCTTGCTCCCCGCCCAGCGCCCAGGCATATGCGAGGCGCTGTAGGAACGTGAGGTGGACTAGCACGATCCGCGCTGCAAAAGGGTTTTGACACACTTGCTGTGTCCTCACGAGTGGTGGGTGATAGTCGCCAACTTTCGCGGAAAGACACCCCTTCGGAACTGAGTGGGGAAGGTTAGAAAGGACTGGCCGTCACCCGCTCGGAGCCGGGGCTGGAGTTCAATATCACACGGTACATCTCCCTCCGCTTCTCCAGGCCGCGGTCGGGGGCACGGACACCGCCTCCCCCCTGCAGCTTGGGGCCCAGGTGAGGCAAATGAAGGGGCCACCGAAGAAAGCTCGGTCTTTCAGGGCTGTAGCCCCCGAGCAGCGGGCCGAGGGACGGCCCACGAAACTTCCCGAAGTGGAGGGACCGTTGGGAAAGGGTCGCCCGGGCGCCCAGCGCCTTTGTCGCTCCTGCCTCGCCGCCGGCCCCCGCTTCACGGGGCTCACTGGCGCCCAACGAGGCCCCCGGGCCCGCCCGGGCCTCGGCTCGCGTCCCCCGGCTCGGCGGCCCTCACAGCCCTCGCCCCCGCCCCCACCCCCACCCTGGGGCTTAATGGAGGCGTCCTCAGGAGAGGCTACCTTGCCTCCCAGGGCCTGCCGCGGAGGCCGGCAGCGCCCTGCGGCCGACACTTACTCGCTACTCAATTCGCCGGCAAGCGAGGCGGGCTCTGAAGCCTCCGCCGCCGTGGCGTTTAGTCGCCAGTCGATAGCTCTGTCGCCGTCGCCCAGACCGCCGCTGCGCTCCTTCCGGCCCTGCCGCGGCGTCACCTCGCGCCTGCGCACAGCGCCCCCTCCCGACTAATGACAGGAAGAACCATAGAGGCACGCCGGGCGCTGGGGAGGAGGGGCCTGGGGAGCGAGACCATAGAGAGGGCCACTTAGCCGCTCCTGGATCCGGGCTCACCGCCTGCGGAGTCTTGACTCCCCCATTAGGCGGGAGGACGAAAGGAACTGAGCCCTGCCTCGACTCACAAGGTGTAGCTATCTCTCTCCACGTGAAAAGTGTGGCCATGGAAATCTGCTGGATAGCCACTTATTTGCCCCATTGCCTTTAGCAAGTCATTCATTCATTCGACAAATATGTTCTGAGAGCTTCCTGTGTGCAGGCGCTGTTCGGGGAATTGGGTATGCAACAGTAAGGTGGGTCCCTGTTCTTGCGAAGCTTCTGTTTTAGTTGCCAAGTCAGTAACTAAAATACAGGTTCAAACAGGATGCGTTCAGGTAAAATGCAATCAGGAAAAAATAAAGCAGGAAAAGGGATAGAGAATGTGGTCAAGGGAGGCGGCTCCTGAGAAGCAGACGTTTGGGCAGGAAGCTGAATGAGGCGAGGAAGTGCGCCCTGAGGACCGCGGAGGAAGGACACCGCAGGCCGAGGTGTGAAAGGGCAAACGCCCTGTGCTGGGAACGTGCCTGGTGCGTTCAAAAAACAGCAAGAGCAACCGTGTGGCAGTGAGAGAGGGAGAGTGGTGTGGGGACAGGGGTTGTCCAGGTGGCAGGGGCCAAATCGTAAAAGATCTTACTAAGATTTTGGTCTTCCTTGGATTTTATTCTAAGTGTGATGGGAAGCTACTGGAGTGTTGGGAGCAGGCGTGAGATGATCTGCTTATGTCTTCCAGAGATCACTCTGGGGTCTGTTTGGAGAGCGCTATCGTAGAAGCTCAGTAGAGAGGTCCCAGTAGAGGAAGGGAAGCCAGTTAGGAGGCTCTTGGCGGAGTCACGATGGTGACTTGGACCACTATGGCTGGAAATGAAGTGGGGAGAAAGGGCCAAATTAGGGATTTTTTTTTTTTTTTAAGGCAGAACAGAATTTGCAGATGGATTGGAGTTGAGTGAGAGACAAAGGGGTCGAGGATGCCTACGTGGTTTTTGGCTTATGCAGCTACATGAATGGTGGTTCCTTTCACAGAGATGAGGAACAGATTTTGTTCCGGGTAGGGAGAAGTGAACACATTTTGGACATGTTAAATTGCCAAGTAGACCTTCAAGTAGAGATAACAAGTGGACAATTAGATACATGAGTCTGTATCTTAAGGAAGACAGGCGGACTCAGAGGCTAGGGATTTAAATGGGGAGTCACTAACATATAGATACTGTAGAAAGCCTTGTACCTGCCTATCCATACACCCAGGGAATGAGTGCAGTTGGAGAGAGAACAGCTGAGCCAAGGGTTGAGTAGGGGAATGATAAGAAGGAGAAAAACCCAAAGAGTGTGTATCCTGGAAGCCAAGGAAAGAGCTCCCGATGACAAGGGAGGGAGCAGTGCTGCCAGATGCTGCTCAGTGAAACAAAAAGAAGGACATTTGCTGAAAGTGAGGCCAGGAAGGGGGTCTTGGAGGTGTGTGGAGGAAAGAGTAGAGAGTGAAATGGCTAGCAGAATGTTGTTAGCTTACTGGCTCTGGAGCTTTGTGATCATAAACTCAAAGTGAGACCAAGCAGCAAGGATGTGGGTCTTTCTCCAGCCACCTGCTCAGGTGCCGGGGAAGGGAGCTGGAGAGATGGGAGGAGGCCCAGAAAAGGATGTCTGAAATTGAGATTTTGGAGATGGTGCAGATGTTGGTCATGACCAAGCCTAGGGTGTGCCTGTGAGTGGGTGGCTGAGCTAGAGGGGAGGTCAAGTTCATTGAAGGGGAGGGGCCAGGAAACAAAGAGTCCTGGGTGTGGATGGGTCATTTAAGAAGATGTTAAATTGTCAAGAAAGGTGTCAGAAATGGGGGTGGAGGCCGGGCGCGGTGGCTCACGCCTGTAATCCTAGCTCTCTGGGAGGCCGAGGCGGGTGGATCGCTCAAAGGTCAGGAGTTTGAGACCAGCCTGAGTAACAGCGAGACCCTGTCTCTACTAAAAAATAGAAAGAAATGATCTGGACAACTAAAAATATATATATATAGAAAAAATTAGCCAGGCATGGTGGCGCATGCCTGTAGTCCCAACTACTCGGGAGGCTGATGCAGAAGGATTGCTTGAGCCCAGGAGTTTGAGGTTGCTGTGAGCTAGGCTGACGCCACGGCACTGACTCTAGCCTGGGCAACAAAGCGAGACTCTGTCTCAAAAAAAAAAGAAATGGAGGTGGGGGAGACCATAAGATAGGTTTTTAAATCTTCAACGAATAAAGGGAATGACGAGGAGGCCAGCAGATAGCTTCACAAGAAACAAGGGGTACAGTCTGGTGGCACATGCTTCCCAGGATTCAGTTCATTGTCCCATTGTTGTTTTGTTTTGTTTTAAGGAAAGTGGGAGGAACAATAGTCTGGATGCAGCGATGAGTGCCCCTCCTCCAGGCCAGTGGAATGTAGCTCACAGGGGTTTACACAGGAGAGAACAAGACCACTACCGAGAGGGCTACGGGGGAGCAGTGTCCTGAGGGAATAGCCATATTGCAAGGAGGCAGAAGATGAAGGGCTGCTTAGAGGAGAGGGTAAGTATGTAGGGATCTTCCTGATGACAGACCCTGATTTCCGGAGGGTGCCACGCATGGGAGATTTTAGAAGGTGGACAGGAGTGAGAGCTTAATAAATAATAATAATAGAGCTTAATAAATCATCTTATCTGGGGATGAGATCCTGGAATAACCTGGAAGGTAAAATAAGGGCAGCGGGCTTGATGGGCTTATCCTCCTTGCACATCCTCTTGGGGAGGTGGATAATCGCATTCAGTTATAGCCACCTCCTTAGGATGGTTCTTGTAAACCTTCTGTGATGGTGAGGCCGGCTGCATTGGAAGTGGGGCATTGGAGGCATGGTGGCTTTAGCAGGAATGCAAGGATCTGTCTGTACCCCTGAGCCCTACTGTGGTTGGTGTCAAATTCAAGGCAGGTATTATCAAGTAACCTCTCTGAGTTTGGAATTTTTTTATTTGTAAAATGAGGATTTTTATATTGTCTGTTGCCCAGTGGCCTTGCAAGGGTCAAATGGGATCATGCATGAATTGAGAAGCTCTCATAGTAGTTATTAATATTTGTCTAGATGTTGATGGTGTCTTAAGCATTCTATGAGCCATAAAGACTCTTACCTTATCTCTGCATATCTCCCAGTGAGAGCAAGAGTGAGCTACTCTCTCCTTCAGGGTTTCCTGGAATCCTTCTGGTGATCTTTGAAGGCTCAGGCCTTTGTTGCAAAGGCAGAATGATTGCAGCTAAGGCTACCAGGCTGGTAGGATAATGTTTTGAGATGTTACTTACCCATCTTTGTTTTTCTTCAGATATTTCTCCTTTTCTCTTCCCTGGCATTTCTCCTTTTTTCTTCCCCTCTTTGGAAAGGTTTGTGGTAGGGCTGCTTGCCTTTGCGTTTCCAAAAGCTTAACCTTGCTGGGGAGATGATGCCAACTTTTCCCTGAAGGAGACTTCAACATGGAAGGTGCACATTTGAGGGGAAAATGACAGGTGATTTTCCACTGTGATTGTACTAATCACGGAGATCAGCAAAAGGAATCCTCTGTGCTGGGAAAAGGAAGAGAGAGGGGGAAAATATTGAGAGTGGTGACAATGGTGGGTTCAAAAGCAGTGTCTGGGAGTGGCTGAAAAAGGTCGGAGAGCAACGGATATGTGGTGCTGTGTCCAGGCAGACAGAGCCTGGTGGTGCCGTGAGAGTGGCCACAGAGCCACTGGACATGAAGGAGCCAAGGCCTGGGCCGGGGATGTGCTCTGCTGACTGTTGGCTGAGAGTGTATGGGACAGTGGATGGATCAAGAGCTGCCTGTATGGCAGGTGACTCGAGTACCAGATGCTCCCCTCTCACCAGCTTGGAGCAACCCAAGCCCTGTGTCATTTAGATATAACCTGGGAAGGAAGCAGAATGCAGAGAACCCTACATGGCCTGAGATGTAGGTTCTGGTTTCTCCATGTATTGGGAATTCAAAATAGAAATGAAATTGAGTCCCAGAGAATTAGAAAAGTTGTGTGTTCTGCACAGAGGAGTGAAGGGAGCACGGGAAAGCCAACAGGAGAGGACTGAGGTACAGTCATGAGATGCAAGGGCCAGAAAGGGTTGTAGGGATCAGATGGTTCTGAGTTGACAGGTGACATGTCCAAGTCATACAGCAAGTCACACTGACCCTGCTCCATTGTATGTAGATGCCATAGCTGAGGCCATACCGTCCCTGTCATAGAGCCACGAAACGCCAGAGCCAAAAAGGGACCAGGCTTTCCCAAACCTCAGACACTGGAGCAGGGCCACACAATTCTTACCATATGCTTATTGTTTGTTAGTAATATTTTTCCTTAAACTGGTTTATTTTTCATTAAAATACAATTATGTCCCAAGGAAATGGACATCACTACTATCACTCTCTATCACTATTGTCAATAGAAAACAAGTCTGACTTTCCCACAAAAGTAGATTCAGTGAGGCCAGGCATGGTGGCTAATGCCTGTAATCCTAGCACTTTGGGAGGCTGAGGCGGGAGGATCCCTTGAGCTCAGGAATTTGAGGCCAGCCTGAGCAAGAGCGAGACCCTGTCTCTACAGAAAATAGAAAAATTAGCTGGGCATGGTGGTACATGCCTGTAGTCCCAGTTACTTGGGAGGCTGAGGCAGGGGGGATTGCTTGAGCCCAGGAGTTCGAGGTTGCAGTGAGCTATGTTGAAACCACTGCACTCTAGCCAGGGAGACAGAGAGAGACAGTCTCCAAAAAAAAAAAAAAAGATTCAATGACATAAAACAATGTTATTGAATTTTTTAAATGGTTAAGTAGAGTAAACAAACCAATGAACTACAAGTAAAAATTAAGTGTAAGCAAGGCATGAAATATATAACTAAAAATAAGCTGCTTTTTTTTTTTTTTTTTTTTTTTGAGACAGAGTCTCGCTGTGTTGCCCGGGCTACAGTGCCGTGGCGTCATC